ACACGAAAGAACTTGACTGCAATACAATAATTCACGTTCCGTGATTTTCGGTGAGTGAAAACAAACAGCTTCGCGTCTGTTTCTATATATCTGTTTTATAAGATATATGGCCAATGCTGAAAATCCAATAGTTATATTACAGCGCGAAAGACTTTATTTCTTGACTAACCTCCCTTTGGAAGTAAAAGCACGATAGTAGTGTCTTAAGAAATATAAATGCTGCAATATGAAAATACAGCAACTGTTTGTTTTGCAATCGCTCTCGTTTTTAAGTCATTAAATATTTCAATAATCAGTGATATTTGTTGGTGTACTCAGGAAATGTCAATCATTGATGTAGATAATACATTGAAATGCATGTATAATTTTAATTGGTACTAGATATTTCACATTTTATTTTGTCTCATTAATTGACCCAATAAACCGAGTCTCTAATTGTCAGTTATTTATTTTAACAAATGTCATATAATAATTATTATGTTCTCTTTTTTTTGAGACTAAATAATCATTTAACAGAAGCTTTTCATTTCATTAACAACATGCATGGTTGTACATACATGTATTTTAGATAGAAGGCGTATTTAACCGGTCTTTATGAGATAAGACAGAAGATATCTAGCGAGTATTGTGAATAAGCTGATGTTTATCTATAAACGAAAAGTTGAAATATATTAATCTATTGAACTAGTAAAACAATGCTTTTTATAAAAATCCAGCCATTGATTACTTTTAACTTACTGATTTCACGTGAGGTTGTTTAGTTGTTTGAAATATAAGATGGTGTTGGTTAATGCGATAACATAATCAAAAACAAACAAAATACGTATGGAATGAAGTTACCATCTGTTTTATAGCAGGATTTTTTTCATTTTTCATCGTGTGGAGTAAATACTGATGTTAAAGAATGCATTCGTAAACAGTATTTAAAGCAGTAGCATTTTTAGCGAGTTTTACGTCGCACCAACACAATATCGGTCAATATATGAAATACTGAAAGCAGTACTTTCCTCATACCATAATGATATATAAAGTACAGAGCATATATTCTATATAATATGTTAAACTATATATGTCATTTAACAATCTCGAACATTAACATGGAACCTATCTTATACCTGATTATCGATATTAACTGTCAGTTTGGAAGATTAGGTACGCAAGTAGTGAAGATAATATTAGTATAAACCCAAGCTACTACGTGTTATTTATATTTAAACAAGGAATTAAAAAAAAATGTTTTTCTTTCCTTAGATAAAATCTTTAAAATACGAAGAATTATTTGGACGATTGTTTTTTGAAATTTGTGTTTATAGTATAAAATCGAGCTTGAGAACATGGACACTCTTAAATGTACCTTATTTGTGATTGACAGAGAAAACTCTGCCTCCAGACAAGTCCAAATATTTCAAGAAAATCAATCTTAAGAAATAAAGAGATTTTAAGACACATAAAAAGATAAAAAGATTAACAATTTAAGTAACAATTTACATATTACGTGCGATTAAAGAATTCATCACCATATTTATACTATGTGTATAACGCACTTAGGGCTATTTTTATATATTTTATACATCATTTTGGTCTCTAACGTTGATTGTAAGAGTCATTTGAAATGTGTAAGTTACTTTTCTTTGGTTCACTTCCAAATTTTCATGATCTGGAGGCATGCTGCTTTAATTGTCAGTTAAAATAGCACATTATATTATTCTAAATATCTACCTGACTGAATTACATTATCAAGTTAAATAAACAAATCAAGTTATAAAATAAACCAGAAAAGCTTATGTCTTGCACCTGGAAATAAAAGTGCTGACATCAAAACCTTAGATATATAAACCATAGGGCTTCTGTCAATAACTGGTAATCAACTTTATTCCGACTTCTAACATTCCAAGAACTTTGCGACAGATTGGTGCTTCCGATAAATCATGATAATCTAATTGTTGTCAACGTCTAATTTTCCCCACAGTTAATCAATTCAATTAGTGGTTAAGACGTGCAATGTCTGTGCTTTGTCTGTAACAAAAGAACCTCGCCAATATAAAAGGGTTAATTTTGTTAAGTCGTTTGGATTTTGACAGGTTGTCACATGTCCCTGATGAAACAGATTGTATGGCTATTCTACAAATGTTTAAACCCCGTAGAATGTACATGCGTCACTTTCAATGTGGTCGGTAAAAGCGTGCAGGTTACGTTTAGATATTTTTAAACGTAATAAAGATATATATTTTTTCTGCTGAAATACGTTACAGACTGTTCGTACATCCTTTTCATTTCTTAGATCAAATAAAATAATAAAAGCCAGTGAACATAGTTTTCTTGAAATGTGCATTACTATAGGAAATAGTAATTAAACAAAACTGACAAAAAAAGGTTGCCAAACTATTTTCTGGGTTATCTGCCCCTTAAAGTGAAGTTTTGCTTGTTGACATGCTTATTTTACGCTACTACTTTATTCCTTTACAAACCCCAATCTAAACTTTGACTGGATAAACCAAATAATTTTAAATGTGTTTTATTGTTTTGTTTGCAAGAATAACTAACATCAGCATTAACGATAATTATAGTATATCATTTATAGCACTGATACTTATTTAATTATTTGAAAATTTCTTACAATACTATAAAAACATATCTATATATTTATTTAGTCATACCGAATACTTGACAAGAAAGCAAACCGATGTGTCTTGCCGACAAAATATTTTCAATGTAGGATAACTAGTATTTAGTTTATAGTTGCTGAATTGCACAATGATACGTTAAAGATCACATTAGTTTTGAAATACAGATATCGTATTTTTTATTACTTACAATACATAAAGATCACATTAGTTTTGAAATACAGATATCGTATTTTTTATTACTGACAGTACATCAAACAAGCAGTTCATAATACCTGGTCTTTGTTCTTGTAATTGATATAATTAGTTTTCGATGACAGAGAATATAGAATTAGCATCTGCATCATCTTCTATGTCCATAAATTGATTACATTTATAGCTATATAATATGTCTGTATCATTTTATTTTGCTCAAGAGAAAAGACAATACACCGCCTTAAATGAATGCTTCATGGAAATGTGGCAATATATTGATTTAATTTCCTTGTTTGATAACATGAAGTGCTTCGTTTGTTACCTTTCAGCTTAAGATGTGAAAAATAAGGCGAAGAATACTGCACGAGCATACTGTTGTTTTTTCATTGTTGATTGATAGATTGATTGATTGATTGATTTATTCATTTATTTATTTACTTATAAAACTTATTTATTTAAGTTCCCCTGTTCGAAGGAAATCATTTTAGCTATAGCCATGACCATCTCGTCTGCGCCGGCGTAAGTTAACCTTTTTTAAGATCCATTTCCTCAGAAAGTTTAACTTATTCACTTCAAACTGGGCCCTCATAACAGGATGACATTTTAAAAGGGCAGATATTCCTGATTTTATTATGCAAAGTAATGCTTCTTTTTCAATTTAAATATTTATCCTTGGTTAATCTTTTTGTTAAGATCAATTTTCCCTACCACTAACAAAGTTTTCACAGCAAACTTGATAAACATGTTCGCTATTAATAATGGCACCATTTCATAAGGGTAGATGATCCTAAGATTATGTTTTTAGGTCAATTTTTCAAAAGCTATTATAGTTAATACTTGTTCAAATGCATTCCTAAAGAGCAGGTTTATTTATCATTCGTTTCTCGATTTCTCTTTTATATATTTGTTGTTATATCTAAAACAAACATCACATTTACTCATTTTAAACTTTGAGTTCTTGTAATACTAAATTTAAAATGCATTCTTGAGATAATCGTCTGATCCCCTTTCGAAATTCTATTTTTTAAGTTATGTCCATTGTTTTTTCTTTCGTTTAAAACACACGCTTTTTATTACTTGGGGACCAGATGCCGTTTTTCATGGAATGCCACTACTATGTCACTTTGAAGGTGCCATGAAAACCGCCGTATGAACACATCTGCGGATGTTTCTAAATTTAAAATTTTACCATTTCGTGTTTAAATGTTGAATTCTGCTAAAGCCCGTGCTAGGGGGCGTGGACGGTAGTTTGCACTAGACAGTACCGTCCATGAACGCTCAATCAAACCGAGCCTGCAACATTTACAATTTTGCTGTCTTGGGCTTTCTTTCCTGTCATCACCATAAGTAAACCCCAGCAAAAATGAGCCAATAAATTGGCATGCCCTGGACCGCGGGTAACTAATACCTGCACTGAAGTTAACGCACTGTCTTTCTATATGTATACTGTTATGTATGCAACATATTACATGTATATAGTTTATCTCTGACAAGTTGGTATTTCCAATATTATCATTGTTCTATTTTTAGAACATAAACTAAATGTGTACCTGAATAGAATGTCAACAAAAGATTTAATAAGAAGTTTCTTAACTGTTGTAGAAAATTCTAGATTATGATTCATACATTATATTAAGATAGAAATTTCCAGATTGTTCTTTACTGTTGAAGGTGCTACTTTATGATTTCTGAAGAACATAAAATACTGATCTAGAATGATCTTAGTTAATATATATAAGGGGACATTTTTTGATTTTCTGGACCTTTTAAGTCATCAATACACATGGAGTATTATTCAACTTGGATATTAAGTAATTTAGTGCCAGATTTATTGGAGCTTGGAATTTAAAATAGATTAAATTATTCTTGTGGATTTTATTGTGGGAATTTGTTCTAAAGTGTTCTTGGGTTTAACTTGGATTTAACTGTGCTGTTCAAAAAGGGATCATTCCGGGATCAGACTAGACATTTGAGATTTATATTTTTATTTTGACTTCAAGTATTTATAAGCATAAATTGTTCTTCAATTTTTCTTTAATATTTTTTTCTGTAATAAATTTGTTATTATTACAAATTTGTTGCTGGCTTTTCTTTCTCGTTATGCTTGTCTCGTAACAATACCATTTAACTTTGACACATTTTTAAACGAAAGATCCCCAAAACTATGATTAAATTTTATCTCACCTGTTCCAGTTATATATTCATTAGGTATGCTTCTGGTCGAACTGTGTTATTTTCATGTCTGCTTCTTCAGAAAATACAATCTGAAACATGTAAACATAATTTATTTTTTGGATCAGATAACTCCAAATGATTTAGCTACATACTCAGTTCAATAAACAGTCTTGTAATATGATCTTAGAACAATAACACTTTGCATAGCTGGTTTTACCTTTAGTTCAAGCTGTTTTTTGTTAAGAATACAACAGCCATGCATTTTCACAATTAATATATGCACACTTGTAATTTATATAAGCTCTAACAAGATTGTTTTTTTTCTGCAATAATAGCAATATACATTTAATATTTAACTATCTTTCCTTTTTCCATTATTCATTGATAAACTTTGTTTTAATGTCTGAAAGTAATGATTTTGTTTACAAAAAAAGAGAAAGAAAAAACTCTGGCAACATAGTAAAACAAATGGCATGCCATTTTCTGAAACTACATCATTGAAATCTAACTTCCTTTGTTTTCTTATGTGGTATGCAACGGAGTTCGAACCCTTGTACAAAGCTCGTGTTTCTTTGGACCTAATGTACTGAAATCATGTGGAATAAGTAGTTGATAATTCACAGAATACTGATAATTACCATATTTTTGTAGTAAATTATCCAAAAGTTGGTTAGGTGGATTGCATACATTACAAATTCTACTTATCTAAGAGGATTAAGCAGAATCCTCTTATCATTATTCTGAATGCATTAAATATAGGGTAGAAATATGGTTTCTGGGCAAGAAGAGATGCAATGCATGAATTTGATATATATCTGAATGTCCCTTTGATGATTTTCAATGTCTACAATCACTCATGTTGCAGGATTCAAGAAATGTGATCATTCCAGGGTATACTTATACATTTCTGATGTATATCTGTGGTATATTTTGGTCAAAGAAGAGTGTCAGTGTACAAGGTAGAAGTGTATGTAGAAGTGTATGTAAAATGTTCTCTTCAACAATGTAAAATCAAAGTTTTGAGTTTAGTTTCCTTTAGAGTATAAGGAAATTTTAACATGATGATCCTAATTATGATAACCATATTGATTACTTATAGCAACTCAAAATGATAAATAATATATAACAATATCATAGAATTGACCATTTAATCAAAACTTATATCTGAAGCTTGAAAAGATTTGTTTTCAAAACTGTTTCGTATCACTCGCACATGATGATATTTGTTGATGACATATTTTGAAATTTTATGAAACCATCACATTTGTTATTCTGAGCAAAACGCCATATAAATGTTTGGGTTAATGTAAAACTAAATATAATTTACGTTGTGAGACAAAACAACATACACGTTTAAAACATACATGTATAGTCTATTATTATAACTAAGCATATCTATGTATCCTTTGGGGCAAAAATGAACATTATTTTTAAAAGCTTTTAAATTTGATTTATTAAAGTTCTAACAGTTATAGATAAACGTTGAAATTCCTAAGTGGTATCTTACTTACTTTTAAAATCATTATACGTTTCAACATCTTCAAACCATGCATTAACGAAACCTTTACAAAAGATGTTAAAAACACTTTCTAAAAGACGTAATTTTCTAATGGAAACAAACTTTTATACTTGGAGAATTCGATAAATTTTTTGCCAACTTACGTTTTCAATGCTTTATTCCAATTCATTTTTTTCCAAGTAATCAAATTAAGGCAAAAATTACTCTGACCTATACATAAATATATATACATTCATCACCTAACAAGAAAGCAATAATCTACAATGAATTTCGTTACAGTGAATTAAAAATCACTTGTCATACACAACAAACTAGGTACAAATGCTACAAAATATATATCTTATATTTCTCGACACTGGTTCCTGTCTATGCTTGTCAACAAGTGAAAGCATCGATGCCTCTATATCTGTTATATTTACTAACGCCAATAGTAGGATTTTATCCCAGCTATGTTTGATTTAAATCCGTTTCAGATAAAAATCATGGATAGAAACAATGTTTTGAAAACAATGAATTTATGAGAACTTGTACGGTGAATTTTGAGATTTAATAACAAGTAAATACGCAATACCAATAATCAAACGAACATATTTACGTATAATTGTGAATTAGTCCGAATTTATAAAATTCAAAGAAAAAAGAAATTAAAATCAAATAATACACTTTGTTTGCAAAACATAATCAATTATTATAAGCTAATTGATACATGTGTCAGGTTGTTTCGTAATTGAAATAAACCTAAATTATTTTCTGATAAATATAATGCGTTAATCAAAAAACAAATAAAATATAATAGAATACGAGAAGTAATTACCATATGTTTGATGACAGGGTTTTTTGTTCAGTCAACAAAGATTTAGGATAATTCATAAGTAAACAGTATTTTCAATAAGTGGAAGAGAACAGTTCAATACTGTACTGACTGATGGTATTCTTTAATCAATAACATTAGGTTGTGGTATTGGTAACGTCTGTCAGAAAGACACAAGTAATAGGAATTTTAGTTTATACGTACTTTTCATGTTTTTAATAATTATTTCGAGTTAAAGAAAAAATGTAATATTGAAATAACAAAAGCACTTTATCTCTCGCGCATGACTTAGAAACTCGTGGCCACGATATAGTATCTCGTGTGCACCACTTCATTATCTCGTTCCCACGGCTTAGTATCTTGTGGCCACGGCATAGTATCTCATGTCCACGACTTAATTATCTCATGCGCACGACTCATTGATGCAAGCACTATCAAGATTGATTTTTTTAAATATTTGGACTCGTCTTGAGGCAAACTTTTTACAGATGCCACACAGCACTTGATCACTTTGTTTTCAGATTTTTATACTACACAACAGCAGGTGTCAAGTGCCGCGTGGCAGCTCGTAATTCACTTCAGTATTGTTATATTTTTTGGTCCTTCATCAATATGAAAAACATGTAGGGCGAATTCGTTTGTAATTTTTGTTTATAGTATAAAAACGATCTTCAGAACATAGACACTCTTATATGTACCTTATTCCTTATCGACAAAGAAAACTTTTCAAACCGAGTCTGCAATTTTCATGTACGTACTTTTGTTGTATTAATGCTTCCGAGGGATCACTTTGTTTCCAGAGTTTTTTGCCTCAAGACGAGTCCAAATATCTCAAAAAAATCAATCTTGAGTAATAAACTAAGATTTTAAGACAAATAAAACGATAAAAAAGATGAAAGATTCAAGTAATAATTAACATATTACGTGCGATTTAAGATTGATTTTACAGAATTAATCACCATATATGTACTATGTGACTAATGCAGTTAGAGCTATTTTTACATCTTTTTGGTAATTAACGTTGAGCCATTTGCAATGTGTAAATTACTAAGTTTTGTTCACTTCAAAATGTTCATGATCTGGAGGCATGCTGCTTAATTGTCAATCAAAATAGCACATTATATTATTTTAAATATCTACCTGACTGAATTACATAATCAAGTTAAATAAACAAATCAAGTTATAAAATAAACCACTAAAGTTAATGTCTTGCAGCTGGAAATAAAAGCGCTGACATCAAAACCTTAGATATATAAACTATACGGCTTCAGTCAATAACTGGTAATCACCTTTTTTTCCGACAAGCCATGACTGTGCTAACATTTCTAGAACCTGGTGCTTCTGATAAATCATGATAATCTAATTGTTGTCAACGTCTAATTTTCCCCACAGTTAATCTATTCAATTAGTGGTTAAGACGTGCAATGTCTGCGCTTTGTCTGTAACAAAAGAACCTCGCCAATATAAAAGGGTTAATTTTGTTTAGTCGTTTGGATGTTGACAAGTTGTCACATGTCCTTTGTGAAACATATTGTATGGCTATTCTACAAATGTTTAAACCCCGTAGAATGTGCATGAATGACTTTTAATAGCATGCATCACTTTCAATGTGGTCGGTCAAAGCGTGCAGGTCACGTAATAAACGTAATAAAGATATATATATTTTTCTGCTGAAATACGTTACAGACTGTTCGTACAGCTTTTCCATTTTTTAGATCGAATAAAATAATAAAAGCCAGTGAACATAGTTTTCTTGAACTGTGCATTACTATAGGAAATAATAATTAAACTTAACTGACGAAAAAAGGTTTCCAAACTATTTTCTGGGTTATCTGCCCCTTAATGTGAAGTTTTGCTTGTTGACATGCTCATTTTACGCTACCCCTTTATTCCTTTACCAACCCCAATCTAAAGACTGGATAAACCCAATAATTTAAAATGTGTTTTATTGATTTGTTTGCAAGAATAAATAACATCAGCATTAACGATAATAGTATTTCATTTATAGCACAGATACTTATTTCTTACAGTACTATAAAAAACATATATATATATATTTAGTCATACCGAATAATTGACAAGAAAGCAAACCGATATGTCTTGCCGACAAAATATTTCCAATGTAGGATAACTAGTACTTAGTTTATAGTTGCTGAATTGTACAATGATACGTTAAAGATCACATTAGTTTTGAAATACAGATATCGTAGTTTTTATTACTTACAGTACATCAAACAAGCAGTTCATAATACCTGGTCTTTGTTCTTGTAATTGATATAATTAGTTTTTATAATAAGAAAATAATATTAGTAAAAGTAATGCTTCTTTTTCAACTTAGATATTTATCCCTGGTTAATCGTTTTGTTAAGATCAATTTTCTTAACAATTTACATACTAGTTTTTCACTGTAAACTTGATAAACATGTTCGCTATAAATAACGGCAACATTTTAGAATGCCAGATGATCCTAAGGTTAATATTTTGTATAGGTTAATTTCTCAAAAGCTGTCAAAGTTAATCACTTTAAACTCGGAATATATTCTGTTATATCTAAAAAAATCATCATATATACTCACTTTTAACTTGGAGTTCTTGTAATACTTGATTTGAAATGCATTCTTGAGGGCAGATAATCCTGAAAGCCATTTATGCTAAATTATTTCCTTTTTTGAAGTGGAACATTTGCATTTTCACAAAATCTCTACTGATATTCACTTCAATCTTAAAATAACCGTTGACTGTAAAGATTAGCTTAGTCTGCTTAGTTTGTTTGCATAATTATACCCCCTTTTCTTTGTTGCCCTTTCCAACTATCCATCATTGAGAACAGTGGAGTGTGCTGTCTACAGATATATCTTTTTTAAAATTTCGTTTTGTTACTGATAAGTAAGATTTGGATCCATATTTCGCTGCGATTGACAGGAACAATATATAAACGTAACTTCAAAAGAATGCTATACTTGAATGAATTCATATTTCTTTTAAATTAGTATATTAAGATTTTATTATTGTTTCATTAAATATTTGAGAAAAAATATCGGTATTGGATAATCCGAACATAAGGTTTCTTTGAAAGAATTACAGTTTTAAACCTATTGCAATATGCACAATTTGCAATTTGTCGATGTTAAATGCACTGGACTGTACATCAAAATAGTTTGTAAGCAGTAATTTCTATGTTCAGTATCTACATTATGTAAAAAATATGAAAGAAACGATTAACAAGGGAGTGTGGCATCCAATACACATGACCTGTAAATACCCAGGTTCACTGGACCATCGCTAAGGCATCAAGCTGGGCAACGGACACATAGGAATGCAAGGTCGGAGCAAGGGGGGTACGTATTATTAATTACTAATGAATCACAATATAATTACATATTTAAAATTTATCTCACCTGTTCAAGTTACACTTTCATTAGGTATGCTTCTGGTCGAACAGTGTTATTTTTACGTCTGCTTCTAAGGGAAACAAACTCTCTGGAAAATGTAAACATAATTTATTTTTGGGATCAGATAACTCAAAATGATTTAGCTACATACTCAATTCAATAAACAGTCTTGTAATATGATCTTAAAACAACACGACTTTGAATAGCTGGTTTTTCCTTTCAATATTTTTTAAGTTCAAATTATTCTTCGTTAGGAATATAACAGCCGTGCATTGTTACACTAAATATATACACACTATTAATTTATGTAAGCTCTAAAAAGATTGTGTTTGCTGCAATAAAAGCAATAATATAACGATAGACATTTTTAAATATTCCTTCTTTCTTTTTCTATCAAGCACTGATAAGCTTTGTTTGAAAGAATGGAAGTAATGATTTTGTTTATACAAAAAATCACTCTGACGACATAGTTGATAAACAAAATGTCATGTCATTGTTTGAAACTAAATAATAATTGAAATCTTATTTCCTTTTTTTTCTTATGTGGTATGCAACGGAGTTTGAAACCCTGTATAAACTTCGTGTTTCGTTGAACCACCTGAGGTACTGAAATCATGTGTGATTTATTTAGTAGTTATTAATTTGCGGAATATTGATAATTACTAGTAAATTATCAAAATGCCGGTTAAGTAGATTGCATACATTTACAATTTTACTTTTCACAAGGATTTATCTTGTTTTTCTTATCATTATTCGGAATGCATTAAGTAAATAAGTAGAAATATGGTTTCTGTGTAAGAAGAAATACAATGCGTAAATTTGATATATATCTGTGAAACAATTTTAAAAAGTTCTTTTGATGATTTTAAATGCCTACAATCATTCACCTTGCTGGATTCAAGAAAAGTGAACATTTGAGAGTATTCTTATATTTTTCTGACATAAATCTGTGGTATATTTGGTAAAAGAAGAGTGTTCTATGTAGGTAGAAATGACTGTAAAACGATCTTCAACATTGCACAGTCAAACTTTTTGGGATTAGCTTCCTTTAGAGTATAAGAAAACTGTATCATGATGATCCCAATTATTATAACCGTTACTGTAGTGATTACTAATAGTAAGTCAAAAAGATAAATATAATATAACATTATCATAATGACCATTTAAATAACATTATATCTGAAGCTAAATTATTTTTTCTAATCAACCACTTGCACATGATGAATTTTTTGACGACATGTTTTGAAGTTTTGTGAAGCCATCACATTTGTTATTCTGATGAAAACGCCATATAAATGTTTTAGTTAATGTAAAACTAAAAACAAAAATTTAGGTTTTGAGACAAAAAACATACACATTTAAAACATACATGTATAGTCTATTATTAGAGCTAAGCATATCTATGTATCCTTTGGGGAAAATTGAACATAATATTTTTAAAAGCTTTTAAATTTGATTTATTTAAAGTTCTTACAGTTGTTGATAAACGATAAAATTCCTAAGTGGTTTCTTGCTTACTTTTAAAATCATTATACGTTTCAAAATCTTCAAACCATGCATTAACGAAACCTTTTAAAAAGATGTTATAAACACTTTCTAAAAGACGTTACGTAATTTTCTAATGGAAACAAACTTTTATGCTGAGAGATTGTGATAAAATTAGCGCAAACTTACGTTTTCAATACGAAAATATGTTGCTTTATTCCAATTTATTTTTTCCAAGTAATAAAATCAAGGCAATAATTACTCTGATCTATACATAAATATATATCATTCATTACTTAACAAGAAAGCAATAATGTACAATGAATTTCGTTACTGACACAGTGAATTAAAAATCACACACCACAAACTCGGTACAAATGCTATAAAATATATATCTTATATTTCCTCTCGACACTGGTTCGCGATTCTATGCTTGTCAACGAGTGAAAGCATTGATGCCTCTATATCTGTTTTATTTAGGCAACCGCCAATAGAAGGATTTTATTCCAGCTATGTTTGATTTACATCCGTATCAGATAAAAATCATGGATAGAAAAAAATGTTTTGAAAACATTGAATTTATTATATTAGAACTTTAATTGTGAATTAGGAGATTTAAAAGCAAGTAAATACGCAATACCAATAATCAAACGAACTTGTTTACGTATAATTGTGAATTAGTCCGAATTTATAAAATTCAAAGAAAAAAGAAATTAAAATCAAATAATACACTTTGTTTGCAAAACGCAAATAATTAATTATAATATTAAGCTAATTGTTTACATGTGTCAGGTTGTGTCGTAATTGAAATAAACCTCAATTATTTTCTGATAAATATAATGCGTTAATCAAAAACAAATAAAATGAGCCGCATCACGACAAAACCAACATAGTGCGTTTGCGACCAGCATCCGCGCAGTCTGATCAGGATCCATGCTGTTCGCTGTCAGTTCCTCCACTTGTAATAGAGTTGGTAAGCGAACAACGTGGATCCTGATCAGACTGCGCGGATGCGCAGGCTGGTCTGGATCCATGCTGGTCGCAAACGCACTATGTTGGTTTTGTCGTGACGCGGCTCAAATACAATAGAATACGAGAAGTAATTACCATCTGTTTGATGACAGGGTTGTTTTGTTCAGTAAACAAAGATTTAGGATAATTCATAAGTAAACAGTATTTCCAATAAGTGGAAGAGAACAGTTCAATAATGTAGAGACTGATGGTATTTTTTAAATTAATAACCTAAGGTTGTGGTATTTGTTAAAGTCTTTCAGAATGACACAAGTAATACAACGAGCATCGAAACACGAGGCTATCTGATTTTTACGAGGGGGCATAGCTGCCGAGTGTTGTGATGCATCATTAAAATATTTTATGTAATTTGTAGAATGATAAAATTATTTAAGAAATGTTTATGCTTAGAATCAATCCTGGCTGAACGCTGATTAATGTATGTTCGTTTATTTTGTAAAATAATGAAAAGCAAATTATAATTTGTCTCTTAAAATTCGCACGCTATTAGGTCATTCAAAGATATCAATCGCATGCGGATATTTACCTTTTTTGATAAATATAAAGGTTTGGTAACATGTACAAAAGTTAAAGGTACGAAAACAAAAATAAGTAAACGTCTATCAATAAGCCAAAATGTGATTTCGTTCTTATCAGAATATTGTATTTCTTTTCTTTTTAATTTGAAATATAAATAAAACACCAACAAAGAAAAACGCATCCCCGGATAAAAAAACTGTTTCACAAACTCACAGATTCGAGTGCGTATAATATTATCAACATATAACTGTATGTTCAATTACAGAGTTGATTTAATCTTTTAAACTAAAAGTACTAGATTAAAATTGTATGTTCATAACATGGATTGTGGTGAAGCATAACGTTTATGAAAACCTATCTCGATTCTGCTTGAACCAACCAGTACTGGTGACATAGTAGGAAACCTGTTTGTGACCCCTTTAAAGCTCTATCACTGGATGAATTGGTTGAAAAGCGGACATCCTAATCTCTTTGCAACCACTCCCAATCAACTAAATCCAGAACAAAATGACTAACTGGGGAATAAATGAAAACTAAAATAGTTATATGATCTTGTGTGATAAAAAGCCTGAACAGCGTCAGAAATTTCCCATAAACATTTGTCAATATTATTCTCTAAGGACTTAACGATTGATACATTTTGCTCTCTTATAACACATTTCCTTAAAATCTTACAGTACAAACCTTGATATGAGTGTCTGATATCATTTTCTCCTTTTTGTATATCCTATTTGATTATAAAAAAAACCAGGAAAGTAGAGAGACAGATTATCAGATTCGGAAAATTGCTCTATGTTATTTTGATGTGATAAGCAAGATAAAAAGATACTGAATTAATAAACAGGAAAAAAACATTTGCGATCTTTTATTATTATAAGTAGTATGGTCAGTAGAAGATTAGTTTGCAAATAAGCAATACTGATGACTTGTGTCGCATTGGACACGTTTCTTTGTTTATTCCTGTCCAATCATAGAGCAAATACCAACAAAGATATGTAAAGATCAACTGATATTGAATGCATTACAATTATTTTTATTTTAATTGCTGTAATAATTTTTCCTGCCGCAAAATTCAATCCCTTTAAATGAGACAATTTTCAACAAAATAATACAAATATGTGTAGTACTACACAAACTTTTCTAGACATCTAGCGACATATTGTACTGTTAGACAAATCGTTATAATCTTATTGTTGTCTAAAATAAATTGTGCCCCAATTTAATTTATGTGAAGGAAAACGGAATAAATATCTGCCTTATTATATTCAACTGGCGAATCTTAAATTGTAAAGGTGTCTTACAAATGCTGCTTATAATTTCATTCAGTTTTTATAAAGAATTATAAAGACAATATATATTACAACCCAGCAAAACGTTACAAAAGTAGTATTGTTATAATACAAGTATTATGTTGAACAGCACCGGGCATTGACTGTAGTTACGTCCATAATGTGTAAGCTGCTAAAAGATATTTCACAACATATCGAGTTAACATCACTTAAACGTTTTATTGTTTTATGCTTGTTCATCTAAACAACGATCTAGTCTACTTGCCTTGCCACTTTGTCGGCAATCGCGTCATAGGGCGTGAAAGTGGTTTCAGCAAATGGTACAAAATGACGCATTCCTTCATATTAATTGAACTGGCATTGAACTGGCCAATAGGTTAATGTTTAAATGCATGCATGCATGTGTTGGTTTATAAATCTACTCGATAAAGTATAAAACAGATTATGCAAAATTAAACCACAAACTTATAATTGCAATTTAATTTAGTTTCAATAGGACTTTTTAACATGTTTTTCTTTTATTATAAACTGCCTCAGGTTTAAATGATGCGTAGTGAATGTGCGTCTGTTATTTAACTATATTTCACCAGTCATAGACTTTAACAATCACCCTTAGACAACATATTAACTTATAATGGAACATAAAACGGAGTTTTACTGGATCGTGAAATCTTATTTTGTAAGTGAACTCGGAATAGCCCATCTATTCGGACAACCATTTTTGCTGTTAAATTACAGAAATTGTGTTAAAAAGTCCAGATACCGCCATGATTTATATAAATGTAAACTGTTATTTTTGTCGCGATTCTTCTACTTATCTTAGAACTAAAACACTTTTAAAAAAGGTAATATAAAGTGTAGCAGTATTTTGAATCAATGTGAGCACGGTTAAAATAATGACATTAGTCAGTTATCGATGTATACAATTTCACAGTTGGATTCTACAAGTGCACACGCTATTTACTTTGTCCGACCGTCATGTAATGGCACATTAGAGGTGAAATAATAACTGCCGTAAGAAACATCTGCGGATGTTTATGAATTCAATGTTTCCATGTTAAATTCTTATAAATTCAGACTCTGTTCTACAGTATACAAACAATCAGGACAAGTATAAATAATGTTTGTTCATTCGTTTGTATGTTCAGATAATTGTAACGCCAATAATAACACATATTTGGTCATATTTTTTGGCGGTTTTTTCTAAGCGACTTTCTTTGCCAAATAACCAGTTATTACAAATTGCTGAAAAGGTGATCGACTACTACAATGTAATAGAATATGCAAACAGATAAAGCATATGCTGTATAAATTAACATGTTGATAAGGCTGTAATAAAACAATGATGAATACTTTAATGTACATACAATTTTTTGTTAGTTTCTTACATGAGGAAAAATAACTTCATTACTAATAAATGCGGAGGGCAATAAAATTGTATATTTTGTCCTCAATGAATCATCCGTAAATGTTAGATACTAGTGCAATAATAATGACATCGATACAATTACTAAGATACAATTTGGAAAATGTGTTTACCTAAGATATATACTTTTTAATTGAAGCATTTTTATTTGATAATAAACAGTTTAATTTGAATCAAAATTGTAACTAAAGGGGTGCTATCGATTAATATCTTTGCTTTACATGTTTGCAAAACACTTGCAGTTTAATAGTTTGAACTAATTGCATTAGTGTCAGTTACCATTATCATATTTCAAAATAAACATAGTTCTGCATTTTCTACAATTTATGACATCAGTTAATCAGAAAACAAACACATTTCATTATTCATTGTGGCAATACAAAACTTGCCATATGCCGGAATTTTGTATGGGATATATGCAGTTTAAACAAAGTTTTACGGGCATTATACAGTAATAAATATTTCAATAAAAACGGAAATAAAGACCTCGTTATAAGGTATTCATTTTTGTCTGAAAATACATTTAATGTTAGACATGCTGCAAGAATAAACGTAGTACATGACGTTGAAATGAAGAATATTAATAAGTCAATCTGATTACAATAAGCTCCTAATTAACGCATAGCACTAGAATCTGATTGACACCAATAGAAGGCCACCTTCCCGTGATCTTTCAAACAGCTCATCATCGGCGATTTATCACAGTGGTTTCTTATTTTAATCACTGGAAGAGCAATACTGAGTAGGTAATTTTCACGATTTAGAGAACAAACATTGTGTGGTCCATATAACCGGAACAATTTGCCCATTATACATTGAGTCTAAAATGTTTCCAGATTAGCTGTTTCAAAATGTTCTTTTATAACAAAAAATTACAATTTATTTTGCTTCCACAGACATTCATATTTTAATACTTCGTCTAATGCCTATGAATGAAGGGCGGTTTGATTCCATGGCTCAAAATAGCTATCTCGGGAATTCCGAATCAAAATGAAGGCGAAACAAGTACGGTGGCAATGAGATCTATATGCAAGAAATAACTTATTATAGGTCAACATTCGGACAAATGACGTATATGGTGTTTAGAACAATCATATTTTTGTTGAATATTAGGAAAAAGATACAATATGTTATCAAATTATAATGTATAATTTGTTCTAACGGAAAAGAATAAATTTAATCATAGTGCATATTAATTCAATTAATTATCTCATCTTTTTATGTAAGTTGAATAAAGTTAACACATGGCGTAAGTTTCGATTCAAAAGTTAC